CCATTTAAATATTATATAACTTCTACTCCATACATTTCGATAAAGATGTATTTTGTTGCGAAAGTAATAAAAAAAAAGACAGTAGGCAAAATATATAGTTTCTTATGTTTTTATAGATATTTAGAGTTAACATATATTCTACATGTAAAGTAATTTAAAGATATTTCTTCAATAGGAAATTTCTTCGTTATTTACGATGCTGAAAAACTTCAGTCACAAATGGTTCCATTAATCTAAAGATTTTCATTCAATTTTCATTTTTGATACTACTATATTTTACCCGATAAATGACCATTCGTCCTTGATTTATGTACCAGAAAATATTCCATCTTTAATTTTTTTCACTTACTATTTTGACTCTCACTGGATTCGTAGATGTTTATTATATACATTTTATATTATAATAATATTATAAAAAAAAATTATCTCATTAATAATTAAAAATTAGATATTTTATACAGGTAGTATAATATATACTTTCAACTGATATAAGATTAATTTACTTCACATTCCCAGGGACGCCGGAACATAATATATTGGGGGGGGAGGGTGCAAACTGAGGGTAGTCTCTAATTAACCACTACTTTTATACTAATTTAAAATTTTTTTTTCAAGACAACAATAATTGTTATAATTACCTACTATAGTTTTCCTGGTAGGATAAAAAAACAATTCAAGTTATTTTAAAATACTCAAAAAACTTATAAATAGGTAGTTGTAAATAAATCAGTAATTTAAAATCACTCAAAAAGCCATGTAACTAAGAACCACGTATTATAATGACATAATAATATTACGCAATAGTGACTACTGACTAGGTATAAGCTTTACTCACTATACACGACAGTATCAATACTATAGAAACAATACTTTTGTCAAAATAGACAAGGCGCATAAGTATATAATGTAATAAAATATAAATATTAATGTTGATAACACGTTTGTTTTTAACATTTCTTTTTCTTTTTTATAAATAGCTCGGACGGGCGAGGAAAAATTCTGTATGGCACTGTAGTCTTATCTTCAAATTCATTTTTTACTTATAGACAGAAATACTGTGTTAACAGATAATCTCATGGTATATTTAATTTATTTAATCTATGATTTTAGTCATAATAGATTATTATTATTACCAAAAATATTATATATACCCAGTCCAAATTCTTCTCCAAGCTGTTCCACATGAAGTATCAATTAAGTTCGTACCTATATTTGAAGGGGCGAAACTACTATACTATACTATACTCTTTACCCTCCACAAAAAAATCCGGAGTAGCACCTGCCCCTCTTTCCCCCCATTTTCGGCGTCCCTTTACATACCAATTCCAACGTATGTCCAATGTATGAGTAACACTCAATAATTATTGTTTTTACGTAAGTATGTAGTGCAATATTTAAACAGATACAAATGTAAAGAACTCTGAATCCTGACATTTATTATTGGAAAATTTATCACATTATTAGTTTTGTAACAAATATTAAAGTGTATCTTTAAATATAAATGTTATTACTTATAATTACTTTAACTTTGTTATTTAGTTTTTTTTCATTCTTATACATATTTAAAATTTTTTTTTAGACTCTGATTAACACAAAATGGGATATTGGTTTAACAATGGTACAATTTTAACTCTTTTTTTTCCTAACGGGAAGCACTTTTTGGGATAGCATGTCCTATAAAAAATTCAAAACAGTCTCCTTTTTTTTATTTGTTTTTTTTATCTTATTTTCAAGAGCATACTTTAACTAGTGCCTGAGTTCATATAGAAAATCGATTTTATTGTGTATATTTTTAAACATGCATTTCACGTATGAGCAGTATAATAAACTATTAATAAACAATTTAAAATGTTTTATACATCTGAAACATCTAACATAATATAGAAATGACTTTTTTACTCAACACCATAAATAGCAGATATTATAATTAAATTATGTGTTATTTTTTCAATGTATATATAAATTAACAAATATTTTATACATAGGAATAAATAAAAATTTAGCCAGGAGTAAGGTTTATGAGTTTAATTCTCAATCTCATTTTTGTTACAAATCAAATAAATTGATAATAATATAATAAAAAATTAAATTAAAATTAAAAATTATTAACTATTAATTATTTTTATTGATTTTGTATATACCTGATGATGGAATTTTAATTCGAAATCAGTTGTACTTTACAAATATAATAGTACTTTAGGCTAACCTTTTATTTATTTATATATATAAAATATTTGTTTATTTATATATGTTAATATACGAGTATTAACTATTTAACAATTTTTAATTTTAATTATATTATTTATTACTTTCATTATTATTTTATCTTCAATAAGTAAAAATTCTAATGAGTCGAATAATTCATCGTAAAATGCTCTCACTTTTTAGTACGATAGTAGTTAGGTTAGTTAGATAGTATAATTCTTATATATATATATATATATATATATATATTTAGATATAAGTAGGTAGTTCATTTTTAAATTTTATATCTAGTTTCAGATTATTCAATAATAAATTTAGAATCCACAATGGTTTGTATTTCATTATTAAGCATCAATTAAATTTTTATTAATTAATAAAATAATAAAATAAAACAAAAAATAATAAATTATTAATACTTGATAATAAATATATAAATAACAATTTAATATGTAGAGAAAAAAAATTAAATTCATTGCCTGGAGTATGAAGATATCTGTATCAAATTAAAAATTCATCGTAAGATATATTTTGAATTCCTAACAGGTCATACAATAATAGACTTAACTTAATATTTTATTTAGCATTTTATTAATTTATTAATTTCTACACGTAAACCGGTTAATTTATAAATGTTTATTAATTATCCATAAATAAAATCTAAACATAGACATCTTTTGAAAAAAAATTAGTAATTTTCCTGATCAATATTTTACATTGCTGATATTACAAAACGGCTATTTTAATGCAATATAGATAATACATTATAAGTATCATATCCATTAAATGGAGTAAGAAAAAAAAATACTAAACAAATAACATAATATATCTAGTGACAAAGTATCCCAATAATTTTTTTCTTTCGAACATTTTAAGTTTGAGTTTCGAATTGTTTTGACTGAATATAGTATATAAAATATAGTAGGTACATTTATAAATTATATGTATAAAAAATATAAAGATTTTTGTAAGTATGTAATTTATACTTGTACTTAGTGTTTAAGTTATCTATAATTGTTAACAAAGAAATTAAAATATTATTTAAACAAGAAAAAAATCATATTTATAAGTTAGCTATTTAAAAATTGAACATTTTTTTTATACAACGTGCATACACTTAAGTGTCATCCAGTTGTGAGTTAGTTCGTGATTTGACCAACCATGTTGTTTAACCATGACTGATGGCATTTCATTGGATATTTTTAATTTTGTATTGAAAACCAATTTTTGTTAAACATTCCATTGACGATGAATATTGAATTTTGTCATGTAATAAATTTGACAGAATCCCCTGATCATTAAGAAAGTTAAATTTCTCCTTGTAAAAAATGTCTAAAGTATATCCTTTATTTGCTTATATTGATGCTGGTGTGTAATTAAAAGTTTAATATTTTTTTCCTTTCTCTTCTGATGAATTATATTTTAAAGGTTTAAATCGAAAAAAGAAAAATGAGAGTTTGACGTTTAGTAATTTGATACTGTGAATACTTTGTATACTACCTATAGTCTATACGGTTTATCATTGAAAAATAATGACATTATAGTTCGCATTAATAAAATTTAAACTTGTTTTATCAACGATTAAAGATGATTTTAAAATAACTTGAATAACTTTACTTTATATGTAATATTATAGTATAATTAATTTACTAAGATGATTATATTTAAATTAATTTGCAAAATACTAAAAAGCAAAAACAAAAGTAAAGTCTAAGCTATACAAAATCATACCACGTCAGTTTGGGTTATTTATCAAAAATTATTTTAGGTTCTTTCGTTTACTTACTGATTACTCGTACTAAAAATTAGATTATCCCATAAAATATGTAAAAAAAAATTTAAATAATATTAAATGTGCCTGGCCTAATCTAACCATATGCAATGTATACACCTATATTAACTATATTAGGTATATTATTTATACGATAAAATTTTTTTGAACGATTTTCAAAAAAAAATGTGTTAACATTTTTCCAACATCAAATTTTTATAAGCGTCTACATAAATGGATATTTTTGATTGTGAGAGTAAATGTATCGATGTATAGCCATAGGCGTGCACAACCCGAAATATTGTAAAGGGGGATCTAAAATTTAAATTTAAGAGTAAGGAAGCTTTATTTTGACTAATGTTGCTCGAATTAAATATAATTTATATATATTATATTTATAAAATATTTGGTAAAGAACTTGTAAATGATGTTTCGCGTAATAGAAAAAATAAAAATAAATTTTCTACGTTTTTACGTAAAAAATTATGATAATATATCAGTTACAATTGACTGCAGAAGTATAAATCATTAATAATTTAAGCTATCTGAGAAAAATATACGAGATTCGAGGAAAATATATTCTTTGGGCTCATATACCACAATATTTAAAAACAAATTAAAGTTAATCGTATGTTTATTTAATTATTCATTAATTATAGTTTAATAATTATACCTACATATTTTGTTGAGCCAGGGCCCAAAAGTATTGTAGGAATCTTCTGAGATGCAGGTTAGCCAATGTGTATAGCACACGATATAGTGTAATGATAGCTGATGCCGTATAATAGTACTGGTATGCAGTTTAAAATATGAACATGCAATAATATGTGTTTGGATTAAAATCATTTCAGTTTCCTTCGGGAATCTTATTAGGTTCTATGCCATTTCACATCATTGTATTTTACGAGGGTGGTCACTGAAATAACGGCATGCACTATGATATAACGTGTACGTCGGGGTGGGGTAAACAATCGTCCGTTGGCGGCGCGCCGACAGTCAGCGTTTCCCGACGAGTCGGCTGCGAAACGTTAGCCTATACGCGTCGTGATCCGAAACGATGATGACGACAATGACGAAGACCATGAGCTTATTACGTGGTGACCGTGGTCGGCAAATGTATCGTCAAAAGAATAACATCGAGACTAATCTGGCTTAAATATAGAATTCGTTTGCCGAGGAAGTCGACAAAAGGTGAGTGTGTGCACGTAGTTATTCTCGGGGGACCGTTATAAGTGGCTTTTACAGTTCTGTCGTAGACTTTTAGGAATACGGAATACGGAATAATTTTACGCAATAACATCGTATACACTAAAGAGTGTTTATATATATCATGTTATGATACATTTTTTTGTCGGAAAAACTAATAATATAAAAATAAAAATAATAATAATTATTGAAATTAATTGATCAAAACGACCTAGCAATTACCTCACTCTTCTTATTTATTTTTATATTTATTTGATGTGCGCGTAATGTTCTATTTCTATAACTTTTGAATTTGTTAAATTTGTTATGGTATTTTTTGTCAATCAAGAGCAAAAAAGTATTGAGTATTATTTAAATATTATTTTATATTGTAGTACATATTTGTTTATTACTAAGTATAATAAATAGAGAAAATAAAAAATGCATATGGATTTCGATTAAGTGAAAAATATTGATTTTCAATTGTATGTTAAAATGAGCGAAACGCGTGAAAAGATTTATTAAAAATTATTAGTTAATTTTGATTTTTTGTGCTAGTTATTTTTAAATCAATACTTCTTGTATTTTATGATTGTAAATTCATCAATTCGTAATTTTAAAAATAGTTTAAAATCGATAGAATTGAAATTATCATTTTTTAATATTCATTTATATCCAATAATAAATTGTTGTTGGTTTATTAATTTTCATCAGCAAGGCATATTAATGTAGAATAACACTATAATCAATTTAGTCGGCGAGTTAAATTAATATAACGTAGGTACAGCTAATACCATACATTTTTTATGATAAAAAAATAAAAAATAAATCGGCTCTTGTATGCTGAGAAGTATTAACTTAGAAGCATAATATTAAATTTACTGTAATAAAATAAAAACTTTTACCTTCAGTGGAAGTCTTTACTGATCAAATAATAGTAGGTCAAAAAAGAAATTGGATTTAGGAACAATAATAGTTTATTTTGATATATAATCCACTAATCTCGCGGCGTGTGTTATATTTTAAAAATCTACCGGGAAGAAGGGAGGGATTTGGTGAAATACATCAGATGCTACATTTAAATGATTATTGTATATATTAATAATTCGATGAAGGTTCTTTTGTCTATTAATTGCTATTTATCGTATTCTTTTCTTCGCCAATTTTAAACCATAATTTGCATATATGAAGTATTCAAGCACAAGGCTACGCTCTAGTGGGAGTTTTTTTTTTATTGATTCGTCGTATTATTTGACAGATATCCCATGTTTCACTCAGGTTTTTTTTTTAAACATCGTACCTTTTTTCTTTTTTTTATTCAACATTGTATACAACACAAACGATTAAGAGATTTGTACCTATATATTATTTTTATTCTGTATGGTGTAAGAGAATTAAAAACTAACCATAAGAATACTGTGTTTAGTATTTCATTTAAATATTGATTTGGTGATCAAAAGACAGTTTTCAAATCTAAACAGTTTTGTACAGTATGTAATGTAATGTCGCACTGTTATTACTGCTGTTTCACTTTCGTTATTGTGTAGCCATTAAATGAGGTATCGTTATTTTTATTTCGCTTTTTTTTACTATTACGGTTTTATTCCTATATTTTGACGGTCAAAACTTAATAATATTATACACTTTTAAGGTTTTAGTTTTATTTAACTTTTGATAAACTATATTTTTAATTAAAAAAATGTTAATGTAATATATATATATAAACACATTATAAAAAATAAGTACTTATTGACAAATAATAAAACAAATATTGTTATTCGATAAATTAAAGAACTAATGCAATATTGGATTAAAATATACTTTATTTAATTTCATTGTATTATTGTCTTTCGTAAGTGATGTTAATGAATTTACGTCTAAATACATTTGCGTATATTATATATATAGCAGAGGCAGCCAAAAATTTTTTCGGCCACGATCTACTAAAAACGTACATCACCTTTGAAGATCGATTTTCTTGGAAAATTTTTTTATAAACTAGAATAAAAGATACAAACTATACAGATAAAACTTATCGACAATTTGTTCATATTCACCACGATTCATTTTCGTGCACATGGCCTAAAAATAAATTCTAACATGATCGACCGTTTGGCCGCCCCTGATAAATAGTATATATAATTAAATCACACCTCTAATACGCATCACGCATCACTGGTACGTTATTGTACTCGTATGGCTACTCACATTAACAATAGGCACCTGTCTATGTATAGTATACATATTAGTATTTTTATTTTTTTAATTGGTTAATCATTTTTTAAATGAATCAAGTTCATCGGAAACAATACACATTTTATAATTAGTCACATTAGTCATTGTTTATAAACAGTAAAATATATTAATTGTACTTTTAAATTATAAGATTATTCATAATTATAATACTATATTAATAATTTAATACACAATAAATAGTTTTATAAAATATAAAGATTCTGATTTTCACTTGTGTAAAAGTATAGAATAAAGATATTTTCTAACCTTTTGAATGCCAATAATTTATATATATTTTATTGAATATATATTATATTATTAATGACCATTAATAGTTATATGATTATAATTATACTTTATAATTTAGTCAATTCATACTTATGTGTTAATGATTTCATTTAATATAGTTATTAATTTTGATTAATTATATCGTGGTGTTTTAAACAGCACCTAAGTGCTTACGTAAAGAGTTTAAATTTGGGTAGTGGGTCACGCATGTCATACAAAGTAATTTTAGAGCCATATTAATTATATATTATGCACACCGAAGACCTAAGAGTTTAAGACTGTTAAAAATATTATGGTTTTAGTTGAAAATACACAGAGTTATTAGGTGAGCGCAATGTTTAATTTTTTTTTCGATGATCTACCTTTCACTAAGGTATATTTTTTTAACTTCCTGACTACTTTAGGTATGCTTTTTATTTTTCAGTTATATATCAGATCAATTATATACATATATATATATATATATATATGTGTATATACTATTTAGTATGATTTTAGTATATATTTTATTATATTTAAAATGTATGATTATCAATCATCTTATATTTTTACGTTTTATTGAACAATAGAACTATAAATTGAATGTAGTATTTGAAAAATATTTGCTAACTGCGTTTTACAGCCGTGTTTTATTGTAATTAATTTTATTTAAATACTTAATAGTTAATTCAATGTTGGATTTAATTAGTTTTATTTTAGTATAATTGTTATTATTATTTATTTTATTTATGATAATACTACTGACATTTAATATTAAGTAACATGGGTAATTTGTGGTAGAAGTCAGTAATTCAAATTTAGTCAAGAAAGTGAATTAATTATTGAATATTTTAATAATATAAAGATAATTCCATTTGTTGGTACTTCTAAGTAATTGCTTTGAACCTAATACAGTTAAATCTTTATAGACATGCTATTTTTAAATAACTACAATTTAAACTTATAATATGCTTGAATCGCATTATTAACTAAAAATATTTTTTATTTTAATTACTTTTATCAAAATTTTATATAAAATTGTCAATTATAATTGATCCTATAGGTACTTCTTACGATTTCTTTACTGATTTACTACAAGAACAATAGTTATTGATAATCTTTCCACAATTAACATTATGCGTATGATGTTGTATACAATTATATCCTATTTGATTGGTGTATATACACATGGACTTTTCCAAATTAAATTGTACTGTATTGATATATTTCAGCTTTTTCTCTTAGTATTTTGTCATTGGTATCAATTATAAATGACATAACATAATCATCAATTGATTAGTTTAAAACGCTATTAATATATATATACATACATAAATCATGTAAAATTAATGATTTTTACTAATACTACACTTCTTTGTGAAACTTACTCCCAACGTTTATATAAACATCTCCACACTACAATTTTTATTGTGTCATATCATTTTAAGATTTATCAAGGCTTAAAAACATATAACAATTTGATTGTTTCCATCCACATGTTAGTAAAAAAAATGTGTAACTTAAAAAATAAAATAATCCATGTATTTATTTAATTTAATAAACTTCTTATAAAAATCTAAAAATTATTTTTATGAAGGTAATTAGTTTTATTTTAATAATTTTTACAATTATTATTCTATACAATTATACAAATATAATAATAAATAATTATAAGCATTGGGTTCATTTTTTTTTCTGCGTGATAGTTTTTCTTAGTCTTTGTTAAACTTTAATATTTTCATGAAGATATAAAGTTTTTTCTAACATTTTATCAGGACATATTATTAAAATAAGTCTTATGATATTTGTATACTCATACTTACAGTTACAGGTTCAAGTGTGTAAATGTAGATTTCAAACGTAAGTTTTAACCAAAGTAAGTAAATACTCCAAATGGAATTCAAAACGAAAAATATGTATTTACAATGTAATCGATTCTAATAAATTCGAAAAAAATATGAAATATGATATTCGAATTTATTATTTTTTACCTAAAAATGTGGACTGTTGATAATATCATGGATTTTTGTGCAAAATATGGTGGAAACTTTATGGTGTATCTCGTCTATTTGTTATGATGAATAAAAGTTCCAATTATTATATACTAGAATTTGTAGATATTTAATTTTGAAATAAGAATTTAACTTTAACTTTTGTTATTAAATCAATTATAACTAAAGTTTAGTACTTATTTTAAACATTTAAAAAGGGCGGAATCCCTAGATTGGAATGAGACTCCAGAGTTGGATGAGATACAGGGATGGGTGAATGTTATTGCCGTATTGGTTTTTTTAAACTTGGTATCAATGAATCATTACTCTTAGAAAAAATATTTTGAATGAGATTGGATGGATCAGATCGGATGTTTTTAAAGTTGATTGATATAATAGAAGATCTATATTTTTTAATAAATAGAAGGAACTTTTAATCTTCTAATATTCGTAAAAAAAATTTCATCTATATTTTAGGAAAATCAAAAATGTTATAAGTGTTCATAATTGTAA